TCGGAATCTCCCCTGCTCTCTGTTTCGCAGGGCAGATAGGTAACGTCTGGGATCTCGTTGTATGTGACTGATTCTTCTTTAGTCAGTCGTTGTTGTTCCTCTTGGAGAGACTTAAGGGCGTCCATCGCCTCATAAGTTAATTGCTCAAAGCTTTCTCCATCTTCATCCACGTCATCTCCGCTCTCAAAATCGTCCCAGAATGCGTACCATTCTTTGCCTTCATATTCCGATGCTTCTTCTACTCCTCCTGTTTCATCGTCTGACACCTCTACTCCTCGGCATGGCTTGCATATTTCATCGCTCATCGTCATGAATGCCATATCTTCCGTTGTTTCTTGTACTGTGTTTGCTCCTTCTACATTTCGTTTTTCCGCTTTGAGTTTTAGCCAATCCGATTTCCTGTGCCCAATCTTTCCACAGTGGAAGCACTTTCCGCTGAACTTCTTCTTTCCTTGAAATCCGCTACTGCTCCCATCGTTCCTGCTGAATTTACCGTTTGGACTTTCCTTTTGGTACCTTTGTCCGTAACTTCTTCCGTTCGAGCCTTTCCTGTCTGGGCAGTCTTGTTGCTTGTGTCCGATCTTCCCACAGTTTCTGCATCTGCCCTTGAATTGTTTTCCTCCAATAATGAAAGCTGTTTCGCCATTGTGGTCTGTCGACTTGTTCCCTGCTTTAATCTCATCGTAGATTTCGCATAAATCATCCACCACACCCTTAACCGTTATTCCATGTCCTGTTGTCTTGATCCTTCGCAGAACATCTTCTTCCACTTCATGATTTACACTCCGATGTCTCCTTCCTTCTTCGGCATCTTCTCGAGAAGGTCCTTGATGTACTCTTCGTCCGATATCTTGAACCCATCCTTCGCTGGCTTCTTGCGTTTCACGTCGAGTCCAATCTCGAACTTCTTTGGGTTTTCTTTGATGTCCATCTTTATCGCGTAGTATTCCGCTCGTCGAGCTGCTACCTCACCACTGTCTTCAGATCGTTAGGGCTCCAGCATGACTCCACATGCCCTTGAATTTCCCAGCAGCATGGTCAGTCGGTTGGTGTGAGGCCAATAGGTCGAAGGCACTTGCCCTTCGATGGCTCCACATTGATCGAATCAGCAGTATTCCAGCAGCCTTGCTGTTCTTCTTCTGCGAGCCTTCGATCTTTTCTACTTCTGCGTCCGACAACTTGCCCGTACCTGTAGGTTTTTCCCAGTTGTCCGGTTGATCTCCGTAGAGTCCTTCATCAGTTCTACGTACCATACTTCGATAAATGGGCCATCATCTTGACCTTTTAGAACCTGAACTTCTCATCTTTCCCATCGAAGATGGATACTTGCTCGACGATGAACCTTACCTCCGTAGACATCTTACTTACTTCTCAATCTTTTTTTTCTTTTGAAACCGGATCCAAGCTCACTCTTTCCTGATACTATCTTTTAAAACGTGTTGAAAAGGTGTGACTTGAACGCACAATTTCTCTAATTTAATCAATATCCTTCCAGCTCTACTGTCAGTAGACTGGCTATCTGTTTCGTTTTCTCTTTCTCTCTCGTTCAGATTGTGAGCTCTACAACTGCTCCGATATGCATACATACCAGGATCTTTCGATCCTCTGCTTCTCGCAGTTTCATTCAGATAGATCTCGTCGATCTATCTTCCTGAAGTGCATGGTTGGCCCTGGAGGGCTTTCCCACTTTACTAAACCTATGGACCTTCATCCGTCCATTCATTTGCTCCGTCCCATCGCTCCTTGCATTCATCTCTTCGACCTAACTTCCTAACCTTTGTAGTTGCATCATCTAGACGACCATTGTTCCTCGTTCCTCGTACTCCTGGCCATCTGATGATGATCGGATAACCATCTGATTTGAGTCACACATCCCCAATCACGAACCGTGATTGTGGATCCCGAGTCGTCTGTCCGTCATACGAAAATACCTTTCTGACATTTCGGACTGCCACCAACAACAGAGCCACACCAACAACAACCACAACCTCTCTTCCTTCCGACAGAGGACTCTTGATGAAATAATTAATAATAGCCATGGACAAGCTCCTGACGGTGATTGTGCAAACATCTCCCATTCCCTCTCATGCTTCGACGGCGTTACTGGAAGCCTTGTTTCGCAGCTTTTGCCACGCCGATGGCTTTTTGGAGAGTACCATACTGATTGTGTGCGATGGTTGTCAAGTCGTCAAAGAGCAATCAGGAGAAACCGAAAATCACAAACACGGCAAGGCATCGTTGGAAACGGCACAACGGTATCGCGAGCATTTGGTCCGATTGCGTCATGCCGTGGACACGCAACAACCACCCTTTGTACCGCACCAAAATGGATCGATCAAACTGTTGGAATTGGAGCGACGTCATGGATCTGCCTGTGCCATTCAAGCTGCTTTTGTGAAGCGTAAAATCCAAACCCCATTGGTCATGGTGTGTCAACACGACAATTTCTTTATCCACACAGTACCCTTTCGAGCATGTGTGCATGCCATGGTGGAACGACCTGGATTGGGAGTCGGAGTCCAATGTCTGCATTTCCTCTCGACAGCGACTTTGAATTACCAGGAAAAGATCCAGAAACGATACCACATGGACATTTCCAAAGCAACGGTGGAAATCCATCTTGACAACAACACAAGAAAGTTCCAACTAGTGCCACTGGTATTCTGGTACGGTCGAAGCCATTTGTCCTATACAGATCACTACCGCAACACTATTCTCAATAATAATCATCGACCCTTGCAAGTGGGAGATCATTTGGAAGAACTCCTGGGAGTGGCACAATTGCACGATATTCAACGACGAGGCATGGAAACTGCCTTTTCCGATTATGGAACATACGTGTTGGATCCAGGAGATGGAAAGGAAGTCATCTATCACTTGTCGGGTCGAAGAGTCCGGGCAGCTGCCACAACAACTACAGAGCAACAACAGCAGCAGCAACAAGACGCAACTATGGGACACGAGGAAGGAGCAACAATCAGTCCACAAGAAAAGAATGACACAACCACGATCCATCCACAACAGCAAGGACAACCACCTGGTTCCTTCACGACGGCACGATCCTGTCGAGCCATTGTACCCGGTTTGGAAATTGTGTCCGATTACCAAGACAATAATAACCAGTCCACTACTGCCAATAAGGCACCCAAGGGTCGCTTCAAGCAAAAGTGCTTTCATTGTGGGAACAAGGGACACTCGTACAAGTATTGTCCCAACATGACAAACAACGATACGCCGAATACAGAGACTATTGATTTGTCGTGATGATTGAATCATTCGATTCTGCCTTTTTGGACGTGCATGTGGATTGCCAATAGCGATACTGATCCGTTGGTTCCCATCCGAGAGCCGCAGATTCAGTGCTAATGAAGCACGAAAGAAGGAATCGAATCCCAGGCGACAACTAACTATATGTTTGGAGGGATTGCAATAATCAATCAATGACCCAAAGTAGGATGTACCGTACGGTCCAACCGACGGGTCTTGTTTCTTGCAATGATTCGATTCGATTCGATTCAATTCAATTCACATGCGTCGCAACACCATTTAGATCAGACGTGCTGTGCACAATTCATTTGTGGATCAGCAATTCAAAAAAGTCAAAAAGAACGTAAAGAAGCGTCAAACCTTTTCATTTTTTTGATGGGTAACAACTCGCAAAGTGCTCTTGCCAATCAACAACAACATGAGCTTCAACAACGGGAGCGTGCGGAAGCAATGCTGAGAGAATTGCAAGAACTGGCACTTGAAGGTGAACGAGTGGAAGCTGTCCTTCCGGGGGAGGCTTCGGGTGCTTACCAAGCTTACTACGACAGCGTATGTTGTAAAAAGTGGGAACCCGTTCTATTCGGTGCTTACACTACTGCTGGCGCCGCAGGATGTGCCTGTATCGGAGGGGCTTTGTTGAATCCTTTGACCGCTTCAGTTGGTGGCGCTGTGGGGATGACCGTCGGAGCTGTCGAAGCGGCCAGTGCCATTTCGGAAATCGAGAAAGCTTTGAAGTCAAGTCTCCCGATGCCTACTATGGAAGAATACCGAGTAAAGTCAAAATCGTTTGGCAACCTAGCCGAGTCCGTCTTTAGTAGAAAGCAAGCCTCATCGTACGTATAGTGCTTCTCACACATTCACATCAGCAGGACAAATGCATCGGACCCATAATTCAAAGTATTCGTCGGCATGTTTTTGCAGCATCGGGAACATCTTATTTCGAGGTCGGTCGAATCGACTCCTTGCTAAAGTCTTTACTGCTTTGTTCCGAACAAGGATCGACTTGCGAAAGGAAGGTCGATTGAGACAGCATTTTGCGCTCAGCGACAACTCATCAGTGGAGGCAATCCGATCATTCAGCGAGCAGTTTGAGTTCCGTCTTGCTCACCCGTTTCGAGCTTTCATTTGAATGTCTGGTCGACAAGGGCTGGTTTTGGACAACAAAGCGCGAAATGGGCGTATGTCAAAGTAAAGGTCTTTTCCTGGTATTTCTTTGGCAGCAGATGAAGCGACCATGCAAGACTGGGTACTCCTCGATGAGTTGTAAACTGGATACAGCACTTCAAACTCGGAAGTTTTCTTCCTCCTCCATGAGTGTACAACTAACTTTACACTTCATCTCGAAGTGTTTCCTCCGTCGACTCACGAGTTTCAACTGGATACTTTTTAATTTTTGTAGCTTGGAGTTCATATTATGTGCTACCTTACGGTATTCCGGCATCATGGCGCTCTTGCTGCTGTTTCTTGCCAAATAAATGACGGCTGAGGCATCAAAGCTGAAGTCGTGGTTGCCTTTGCTGGCATGTACCATAGTTGCGGGTGTTAAGCTCTATTGTATGTAGAACCCCTGGTAAACGCTGGTAATCATAGTAAACGGAAAAAGTACGGTACATGAAATACAGGCACTGGTAGTTTCTTTTTGCGCCGACTTTGTTCTCGGCCCCTGGCTACTGATACCGTAGTTGCAATGAGGAAATGGAAGTGCCATGCAAATGCTTCGCGCTACAATGTCAATCGGAACAAACAACTTTTAGAGTACTGGTCGCGTTCTCCTGTCCCTTCGACTCACTCCCCTACAACTAGACTAGCAAATGTCACGAGCACTCTGGAGTAAGGTGATGGCCTAGCTAGCTAGTCCTTATCTCGACGAAAGTGAAAACAGTGTAAACTTCTCGAGTGACTCGAGTTCTCGTACCGCTAGCCAAGTACACAGTCAGACGAACAAAGACGTGAAGGTTTCGATTTTGAGTCCTTGTTGAGAGTTGCTGCATTGTCGTGGGGTACCGTATCAGTCCTCTGACAGGCAAGCTAGGTAGGGTTCTCCAGGCATGGGTTGCTCCAGAACATTTCATCCGAGAAATTGTGTATCTACGAGGTCTGTAGGTCTTAGCATCAAGTAGATGATCACGACCCATGAACTTTAGTAGGCATGTAGAGTACTGCTTGATATCCATCTTTTCGTGCGACTTTGATATTGTTGGCATCATCATCAATGAGCAATGTGGAAGCGGGTGTAATTGGATCTTTGTTGTTGTCTTTGTCTTTGTCTTTTTGCTGTTGCTGATTGTTATAATACTGCATGGCCAATTTCAATTGACTCTGTTTTCCCTTGGAGTGTCCCTTGACCCAATCGTCTCCCCCAAAGACGGGAATATAGTATATGGCAGCCTCTTTTTCCGTTTGCGCGTGTTCTCGATCATACGCTTTCAAAGAACGCGCCAATACTTTTTGAATGAGTTCCTTTTGATTGGAAAAGGTCGTAATGGCCACGGGCATTCGTGCTTGCAAGACGGAATTGATAAAACACAAAAAGGCCGGACGGACATGCGGTACCAAGTCGGACGACCGTTGGTTCCATCGTCCCCACGTGTGAATATTCAATAATGTCTTGTCAAAATCAATCGCTACCAATTCCACCTTTGGACTCGACCGCAATCGCGCTAGTAAGCCGTGACACGACAATGGATCGGTAGGATCTCCTTGTGCGGCTTCTACCGACAACGTCTTGTCTTCACTGCTGCTCACGTCAATAATAATTGGCATGAGTCGATAGCGCAGCATTCCCACTGTCAACGTCATGAACAGACACAACAAAATAGACCAACGGGTTTCCGACGATGTTTTGCTGTAATAGTAGTGGTACGAACGGTGATGAATTTTCTTGCTGGTCGTTGCTAATACAGCGGGAGTTGGAGCCATGGTGGATAAGTACTGTTTTGGTCTTGGCTTTGGCTTGGCTTTGTTTGCTTGGGTCAGTTTGATAGATAGAAGAAGGTAGAAGCGTTGAGGGTTGAGGGTGTGTTGTTGCCGTTGTGAGAGCCAGAGCTTCGAGCGAGATGTCGTGATGTGGAAGGTGTCAAGAAAAGATCAAATGTGCGCCTAAGGTGCTGTTTCCAGGAAACCAAAGCTCAAGCTCAAACAGAAGATACATGTACCGGTACCGGTACTGGTACCACCGATGCTCCTTTGTCGCGTGAGATCGAGTATTCTCTGCATGCACACTCTCCAAATAAAGAAAGATGGCAACATGCCTGCAACCAAGCACAACATTCACACCCGTCGTCCATTCTAACACCCATAATATATATTAGTGTAACCTCTTTGACAATAAGCACTTGACGACTGATACATACTGCTTCCAGTATAAGGGTCAGGAACAAATAAGAGAGCTGTACAAATCCAAAAAGCAAGTTGTACCACACCACCAATCCAATTACCCTCAATCAGCAACAAACAAATAATGGAAGTACCATTGCAAGAAGTCAATGCCGGCAAGGCTCTCAAAGCCCGTGCATCCGGTAACAATAATTGTGAAGTTGCTGAGGCGGATCATCCATTATTGCCCGTTCCTACTACAACCACTACAGCTCATAATAGATTCTTCGCCAATAATAATAATAATGAAAACACCATGTTGGCAGAAGAAAAACGAAATATTGCTTATCCAAAAAAGCGTAGTAAAACAGTGGGTCAGACCAAAAAAGCTCCACCATCCGCTGTAGAGGACACCAGCAATGAGCAGCAGCAGCACCAGAAGATGATCCACAAAGAGAAACAAACAGTGCATACCGCCAAAACTGGAGAGGTCAGTAGTGCCCTCTTATTGGCACAAGAAAAACGACACATTGCTTTTCCAAAAAGTGCAGGGCCATCCAATACTAATAAGAGCAGAGCTATTATTACCGGCAAGCAAGGTGGCGTTGTGGAGGCAGATCATCCGTTGCCCGTGTCTACGACCACTACTGGTGCCACTACTACAGCTCATCATAAAGTCGAAAGTGCCATGTTGGCAGCAGAAAAACGAAACATTGCATATCCCAAACAGAGCAATAAATCAGTCAACCAGACCGACGTTCCACCTGCCGGCAACACCAATGAGCAGCAGCAGCCGATCCACGGAGAGACACAACCAATGGAAGTCAATAGTACTGCCGCCAAAACTGGAAATGTCAGTGCTCTTTTGGCACATGAAAAGCGACACGTTGCATATCCAAGAATTAGTGGGCCGTCTGCAGCACTTTCTGGTAAATCTGCAGATGGTGGTGGCTATGGCATTCTTCTTTCTAATGTTACAGAAGTTGTTGTTGACCAAGCCACCACTCCCACGGACAACAACAACAATAGTGGATTATTGGCTGTAGCCACCCAAGTAGAAGAAGAACACAAAGAACCTACACAGATTGCTAGTAGACCAGCTGCTGCTAGACCTGACAAAGCTTCGGAAGACAATGGAGCTCCTTCACCATCTCTGCTTATCCTTGTTCTCATTGTCAGCCTTTTCAGTATTGGAATTGTTGTTGGTTGCATCTGTGGGGCTGGTCTCTGCAGCAACAAGGAAGGTGATGTGGGGACTCAGGCTCCCACTTCCTTTCGGTATTTTATTTTGGAGGACATTCAAAACAGAATTGACGATGCTTTTGGACCTGACTATTTTCCCAAAAATGACGAGACAGAACCCACCCAGCCAAAGTTCAAGGCGCTTTATTGGATCGTGTTTGAGGATCCTCTGCAGCTCAACGCAGATGCCAACAATCTTCTACAGAGGTTCATCTTGTCATTAACATACTTTGAAACATCCCGGGAAAGCAATTGGCTTGATTGTGGGCCATCTACAACTACTACAAATGATGAATCCTGTAGGATTCACTACTTTAATTCGGAATCATGGGGAAGTAGGTGGCTTGCTGGTGTTCATGAATGTCAATGGGGAGGAATTTTTTGCGACGGAGAGAAGTACATTACTGAGTTGCAGCTTCGTGAGTTTACTTTATTATATTGACCACAACAAGAAGCAAAATGCATGATTCAATTCCTGTACTTATCCTTAGCTTGCTTTCATTATCAGGGGGCAATGGATTGAACGGCCCTCTGCCCACAGAACTTGCCAGTCTTACAGCCCTGGAATTAATAAACTTTGAGGGGAACCAACTGACAGGAAGTATTCCTGTGGAATTGTTTCGAAACAAGCTCTCCTCATTACAATTTGCAAACAATTCACTAACGGGGACAGTGCCCACAGAAGTTGGACTCTTTGATGGGTCTTCTCTTGATTTTGCTTCAAACAGCTTGTCTGGTTCCATCCCTACGGAGCTTTTTCAGGCTAGAACAGGAAACCGCCTTTATATCGTTTTTGATGACAACGAGGTATGGCATGCAACCTTTCCTCGGGAACAGCACACAAGTGATCTCCAACTCTTGGTCAAACTATCTGTGATTGACAGCTCACCCTTTCCCTGCTTTGTAGCTTACAGGAACTTTACCCACTGAAATTGGAGCATTGCATGGACGTAATCGAGTCGACCTCCATTTGCAAGGGAATCCTTTACACGGAACCATCCCATCAGAAATAGGACTTTTGAGAGGCAAAATCGGAGACCTTGATATGAGTTGGACCAATATGGATGGCTCCCTACCAGAGGAATTCTTTACAAAGTGTACCAACTTAGTTTCTCTAAAGGCCTCCAACTCTGGTTTGACGGGGACAATCAGCAGTGGACTGCAGCGTTTGACAAAGCTACAAAATTTTGATATTTCCAACAACAAATTCCATGGGACCATCCCAGCACAGCTTTCTGCTCTGACAAGGCTACAACGTTTTATTGTGAATGGGAATGACCTTTCTGGTTCCATTCCGTCATCTGTCTGTGCTTTGGCTGACCCCACTAAGGCATACTTTGAAGTGGCAGCTGACTGTTTGCCAAGGGATGGCACTGGCAATACCATGATACAGTGCTCTTGTTGCACTCTGTGCTGTGATGGTGGTGCGGCTGACTACTGCCTGCCCCAGTAGGGTTTTAGTGACAAGCAACCGTGGGATATATCAATTGGCTCAGCCAGTGTTTGTTTAGGAGAGTGCAGCATGCAACGAGAGATATGCTAGCTAGGCTAGCTTCTAAACTGTTGTGACCTCCAATTTTTAATCAAATACGAAATGGCGAGTGCCGATTGGGATTTGTTGATCATAAAATTGACCTGGACAACACGACGCCAACGCGTGCCGTACTGTACTGTATGGTACGGTACGGAGCAAAACAGTGAACTGGATTGGCTTCTCTCTGACCTCACTTGCTAGCTAGGAGGTGGAAGCTACGCAACAGGCCATCAAGGCTATCAAAGAAAACTAAATTATCTCCGCTTGCTCGTTGTCTTAGCTGCCGCCATCTTGCAGCTTGGCTGGAGCTGGGAAGCCGCGCAGGTTGCCATCGTCGAGCACGGTAACCGTAAACGTATCGCAGTTGACAAGTTGCCAAATTGAGCATGTGCAAGCCAAAGTGTTTTGTTTGAACTGTAAATGTTGAAAACGAAAGAGCCCGAAATCGCAATTTACATGTAATTCTGCTTCATATTTGGGTTTCGATTTGATATTTGGGTTTCGATTTGATATTCAGGTTTCGATTTGATATTTTGGTGTCGGCTTGATTTTACTATTTATTTACCATAGTAATTTGGTTTCGGTTTTATATTTAGGTTTTGATCAATGTTTATTAAAATTGGATTCTTAAAATCCTGATTTCGGGCCCTTTCAACGGTACCACGAATCAGCGGCAATTTTGTTAAAATAACGGGGGTTTTAGAGTAGGGAAATTATCTACGGAAGCCAGCCGGGGCCAGGCTTTAATAAGAAGCAAAGAACAGTGGACAATTTTGTTTATTTTTATAAGTCAGCGGGAGCTGCGATACCTCGGCAGAAAGACAGATAGAAGAAGGATGACATGTTTGAGATTGCACCCTTCTTTCAAGGTAGCCCTGGCGACAACACCCGACTTCGTCGTGTGTTGCCGCCCCGTATCATTCCCTCATTATAACCTTCTTTTTTATTTAAGGTAGCCCTGGCGACAACACCCGACTTCGTCGTGTGTTGCCGCCCGCTAACCATAATTTTACAGCTGTCACTCCGGTATGTACCTGTAACTTTTGTAGCTTCTGCTGGCTTATTGTGTTGAGTGCACTAACCTTGAATATCCATGATTTATTCCTACCCCTAAATTTGTAGAGTTGGCTTGTGCCTATCTCTATCCCTATATTTTGGCTTCACCGGAACAGGAAACAGGAAGCAGGAAGCAGGAAGCAGGAAACAGGTAAGTCAGCGGGAGCTGCGATACCTCGGCAGAAAGACAGATAGAAGAACGAGGATCATGTTCGAGATTGCACCCATCTTTCAAGCCAGCCCTGGCGACAACACCCGACTACGTCGTGTGTTGCCGCGCGGTATCATTCATTCCCTCATTGCAACCTTCTTTATTAAACTAGCCCTGGCGACAACACCCGACTACGTCGTGTGTTGCCGCCCGCTACTCTATAATTTACCAGTTGCCATTCCCTTATTGTAACTCTAACCTTTACAGCTCCTGCTGGCTTATTGTGGTGTTGTGCTGATTGTACTAACCTTAAATATTAATGATTTATTCCTACCCCTAACTTGTATTGAACCATCAATGTTCAGTTTTGTTGGCTTATGACTATCTCTATCCTTATACTTTGGCTTCACCGGAATAGGAAATAGGAAATAGGAAATAGCATTAAAGGGGTTGAGAACTCAGGCAGTTTACCTGCCGAGGTAAACAGGAAATACCAAAAAAGGGGGTGAGGGCTCAGGCAGATAGACTGCCGAGGTAAATAGCTCGAACCCATTCTCACCAGCCATCTAACCTGTCATAGCAACTTCAATGTTTTAGCACAGTGGAGAAGGGAATGAAAGCCATAAGCAGCATATTGCAATGAAAAGCCGAAGAGATACAGTCATACTGGAGAAATGAAACAAAGATTCTGGGGGCTTTCTCTGTTTCGGCACGTTTCAAGACTACGGTACAGGCAGTGCAGTACCGGTACAGTAGAAACGCCCATGGATTGGTTGGATTCCATGCCATTGCTCAGGTGGATTGTGAGCTTCCTAACAATCCAAAGGTTCTGAGTTGTCGCTCGTCGTTTCTTCTGTTTCCTTTCTTCCCGAGAGCCTGCATGATTCTTCAATTAATCATTCACCACTCTCATTCTGTATGTGGTCCACCGCTCACGAACAGTGTTGAACTGCTAGCCCCATGGGTAGCGCAGGAATTCACAGTTCCTTTTGTAGCAGACTACCGTATCTGTCTAAAATGAAACAAACGCTCGTGCATGTATCATTGAGAGCATAGACGTCCCGAGCTTGGACGACCAATGACGGGTACCGTACCGTAGCTGCCTGCGGGGGGGGAGTTATGATGATCACCTCTTTGAGAGACCATGACACGGAGCAACCGCACGGGTATGGTACTACAAACCATTGTCAGGTTCTCTTGAAAGCTTTGTAGCTACTAGTGACAATAGTTAGACTGCTAGCTTGGTTCCGTCTCAAATGATCGCCGCATCCCATGGTCCTTGGTAGCGGCTGCTAGCACCAGAGTCGAGTCAATGCTGTCGGTGGAGCTTGCTGGCCAAGCCGCGATGCGCAACCACAAAACGATTCGATGGAATCTTTCACAATATTGCGCCGTCTATCCGCACTGTATCCGCGCTTTTTGATTTCTCATGGTTTTGTCGTGTCATTGGTTTCAGTTTCTTTCTGTTTCCACTCCGTCTTCATCCCACAACAAGTTCACGAGCCAAGAAGCAGTCGGGTTTGCATGCCAAGCCAAAACAGTACTTTGCCTTTTTCTTGCAGTTGTTTCCACAAATGGAGCATTTGTTGTGGGTGCCCGAGCATGTCTTGCAAAAGTAGGCAGAGCACCGACCACGGAAGCAAGAGCATTTTTGAATTTGACAGGTCTCATCATCATCATCATCCACCCAACCACCACAGAACCATTGGGAACATCCACGGCATCGACGCATTCCTTTCTTCTTGGCACAGCGCTTGCAGCACACAAGCTCACAGCTGAAGCACTCCGAAAAGTCGTCCATCAAATGGAATTTCTGACACGACGGGCACCGCTCAAATCCAAACTCTTCCATGACACAATCTTCGCACTCCAGAGTAGCAGCATTGGTTTTGGTCGAACCTTGTGCATCGTCCTCCTCGTCATCCTGGAGTTCCTGTCGAAGAATGGTCTGGTGTTCTAGCTTGTTGCCATGCGCAGGACAGTAGAAATCCGACAGTTGGAATGGATGGCAGATTTCACCGACGGCAACGCAGTTGATGACACTCTCTCGATCCAAGAAGCCAAGGACTCCAGCCATCAAATCACTGGAGAGTCCAGCTGAAAGAAGGTAACAATGCGCTTTCATGACGACAGCCTTCTCCGCCGTGTTTGGTTCCATCGTGTTCATTGTTCGTTGCGGATGGCACCATGGAAAGATGCTCAGCATGAAATGAGAACGGTCAGAGAGAAATTGTCAAAAAAGTTTAACGAACCTTCCCGTAGCTAGTTGACTAATTCTCTTACTCCGGCTGCTCCATAGCTAGTAGGCCCGCCTTTGTACTTTCCTAGCTGGTTTAGTACGGTAGGTCTTCCCTACCGCCTTTGGATTCAATTGGCCAAAAGCCTGCAATCAAGAACTCAGGATGCTACAGGATGCAGTGCTGCCGAAGCTACTGCTGTTCTCCAACGGCTCTCCCAGCTTTTGGCTCACAAGTGGTCCAAGCCCTACTCTGTGGTTCGCTCTTTCATCTCGGCCAGGTTGAGCATAGCTCTTGCCCGTGCCACGACCATGTGTTTGAGAGGCTCCCGTGTCTCAGCTCTCAAGGTTTCCAAGCGTTGGGATGACTGTGGTGCCCTCGATCTCTTCCGCTAGTCTTGCTCCTTTGCTCCTCCCTGCACTCATGCCTTCACCCCTTTCCTTGGTTTCCATGTTGCCCTGCTTGCGCCCTTGATTGCTTGCCTTGCGTTCCTGCGTCGTGCCCTCCCCTCGAGCTCTGTCCCCATCCTCATCTTAGCTCTCTCTAATCCATAGTAAACCCGATCCCTGTAAGTCAAATCTGGGAGCAACTGATCCAGCCTCTGTCCACCTCCACAAAACATACTACTAGTATTAGGTTCGGAAAAAATGGAAGAAGGATCTGCAACCGAAATGGATGATGAGGAAGATGTGTTGGATATCGTGGCTGCCAGAAGCCGCAGGGACAATAGAGAGGCGGAGCTCAGAAAGCTGGAAAAGTTTGAATTGGAAGCGCAACAGAGAGAAGACAAGCAACCAAAGAGAACGGAAATGGATGCTGAAATGGGGAGCCGGGGGGACAATAGAGAGGCGGAGCTCAGAAAGCTGGAAATGTTTGAATCGGAAGCACAACAGAGAGAAGACGAGCAACCAAAGAGAGCGGAAATGGGGAGGTCATTCCAGTCACCGCAGCATGTATGCTATAGCTCCCAAGATGTTCATGAACTCAGCTTTTTGAAAAGGGAGCTAGCTGGCTGGGGCAAATGCTTCTCCTAACTGAATCAGAGCAGGGAGCACCACAGAGACTTCCCAACTCCATGGATTAGCCTCAAAAGACCGCAGGAAAGCTCACGCCGTACCTACCTAATAAGGTTCCCAGAGCACTGTGAGCTCTGTTCCACAACAATACGTTTCATGAGGATACCGGTACATGTACGGTACAGAACTTTCCTACATTGCTCCGCTGACACCCAATGTATCACTCTCTCTGTCATACCGGTACGACTCTTCTTTCTAGTTTATAGTCACACTATGGTCGTACCGTATGGTCATCCTAATCGTTCATGTTTCATCAAACTATGCAATTCATTGAGCAGGGCTGCTTGTCCTATTAATACTTACTTTGATCACTCGGATCTGATGTGGAACCATCCACCCGTGCCAGCATATGGCGTTCAAAAGAGAGCCGCCATGGCTTCCTCTTCATCCACTCCAACGGCCAAGTGTGGTTCCTCAATCGTGATCGCCACCATTACTGGTCGCTGGGGTCCAACCACATCTAGCAACAGATCCAATGTCTTGGGGCCCAACGATCTACTTGCGTGCTTACCCCAATAAGGCAGTTCAAATCGCATCTCCAACTGGCCATGCCGTATCATGATAATCCTTTCCAGTTCAATTCCCGAAAAGACACCCGACTTGACCAGTTTTCTGTCTTGTTTCCAAGCTCGGTTCACCACATCTTTCCATTTCATTCCTTCCCTTTCCGATGTGTCCACTGCATAGGCCATGGTGAACAGCTTGACACCTTCCCTCCGATGGAACTGAAAGTTCACCAATGGGCTGGAATAGGCCGGTGACACGTCCGAAGGGATTGTCTTGCAGGGACTCTCCAACAGAGACGGACTGGAGCTTGGGGCTGTGTTGGCGGTAGGAAAGGATGTGATTTCCGCAGTGTACGACGATTGAGATCCGTTTTGTTGGGGATCCGGCTTCATCTCTCCCGACAAGAGGCTAAAGGATCGAGGCCTGATAGGGTCCACATCCAGACTTCCTGTGCTGGTCGAAACGCCAGTGTCACTTGTGTGGCTCTGGGGTTCTCCATGACTTCCAAGTTCCAACTTGCGCTGTCGTTCCAACTCTTTCAGCCTTTTTTGCTGAATGCGCTTGGTTTCTTCCCGTTCCATTCGTTGTCGCTCCAACTGAGCCTCCTTGGCTCGAGCTCGCTCTTGTTCCAACAACCGTTGTACTTGCGCTTCCTGCTGCAGTTGCTTCACCTTGGGGTTGGTCACCAGCTTGGACAAGAATCGCTTGAACTTGGACGGCTTGGGGGGTTGAAAGCTTTCCGGGTGATACTCGACATGTTGCAACGCCAACGCCACTCGCTCATCTTCGTCATTGTTATTGTCATCCATGGCTACCACTTCGTCCGCGGCATCGTCTTCCTCTTCCTCGTCGGCAGCACTCATGACATGCTGCAGTGGAGCCAGCGACACGTCCAGTTGCGTCAGTTCATCGTCCCTGGTCACGGTACCAAACAAGTTGCGCTTGACATTCAGACTGGCATCGACTCGTGGAGGTGACTGTTCTTCTTGATTATGCTGATCCGGATGATCACGATGATGATCTTCCAGTCCCAACACTTTCACCACTTGCATCATATCGGCATCTTCCGGGACCACATCGGCTTGCGCCAATTGCTTGCTTTCTTTGAGCAACTCGCGTTGCTCCTTATCAGCCCAGACCATGGCGACCAAATTGTCTTGAATGACTTCGGCCGGCGTCAAGTCAGACGAGGACGGGACAATCCGTACCGGACTGAGACTCTTGCCGTGATGGTTGTGAAAGTACAGTCCTTCTTCCGTCAAGAGCAGCGCCCCCGGCGATGCCGCTGAAGCTTCTTCATCCACCACATCCTCTCCTGCTTGGGCCGTGTAGGGGATCAACCGTCCTTCGTAGGCTTCCAGCATGAGTGGCGAGATTTTTTGATTATGGTGATTATGATGATGGCTGTGATGATGACTGCCACTGCCACCAATAATCTTGGGCGGTGTGTTGTGGACCAACCACACATCGAGGGCTTCCGTCAAGGACGATTGCGTCGAAATCACCGAGGCACCATCGCCACAGCGAATGACACAGTGATCAATGGGTGGTGGCGGGGAGGGTGGCGACTTGGGTGGAGCCGCAGCTGGAGTAAGCTCGGGTGGTGACGGCGACGCGGCCCTCTTGACACTCTTGGGATGGACAAACGCCGCTGCCATGACGAGATTACGGGGTTGCGAAATCCGTGTGGCGCCGCCCTTGTTATTGTTATTATTATTATTGGATGACGACGGATTGGTAGCATTGTGAAGAAAGAACTTTTTCCCGGGGGCAAAGAACTTGATTTTGGGGCCGTTGCCCTTGGGTGACGCTTGTGTGCGAGGGGTGGGCAATGTGGAAGGCGTCGATGGCAAGGGAGGACCATTGTTGCTGCTGTTGTTCTTGTGGGCGTTGCTGGGTCCTCCAAACAAGAGACGGCGAGGAAAGGACGGCTTTTTGGTCTTTTTGGAAGCCAAGGGCGGTGTGGAAGGGACCTTATTCTTGGTTTTGCTGTTGTCCTTGTCCTTGTTACTGCTGGAACCTTGTGTCTTTTTCTTTCCAGGTGGATCTTTTGGTTGCTGTTGTGGTTGTTGATCGACTGGAAGGACGGGCACAGGTGGCACAAACGTCTTCTTGTTGTTGCTACTAGTCGATGAGTCCTTGGTAGGAGTGTTGCGTGAACACGCCTTGGCAGCGGCAGTCTCGTGAGGGTTGAGCAGAGACGTTTGAGTCACGACTTTGGAAGGAACCGAACAAGGTGGATTGTCCAATCCCCATCGCGACGATTCGTCATCTGTATCCTTGTTGGATGCTGGCGATGGAGCAAGGGAAGAAGTGTAAATGGACCCATCTTGCAAGGTATCGTCATCAGGAACAGGATTGTGAACGCGACGATTGCCATGAGGAACATCAAAGAGTTCCTCGTAACGCTGGATTTCTTGGGCAATCAGTTCATCGAGATCGCCATCGGCATCGACTTCCTTCCTCTTATTGCGATTGGAAGTGTACAGGTTCCCAGGAGCATCCATGTAGGGAGCTGGCTTGGCTGCCAATCCCAGAGACTGGTGGTTGCGGTGCCCAAAGCGGACCATCTTGAGGTTTTAAAAAGTACTAGCTAGTGTTCTATCTACTGTTTCGTGTTGTCTTTACCATTCAAATCACAGAGTGAGGAGATGAGTGATGGATTGGATGGAGCATTCAACAGATGGCATTCTTTGAGAGAGCGCCAATTGGTAACATGGCGCCTGATCCGAAGGGAGCCGATCCGCCTAACCTTGCCCACTTGCTTGGATTTAAATGAGCAAAGATGGTACTTAAGCATTTAGAACGGCATCAACTACTTACTTAGCCACATTCAAAATTTGGAACCTCACAGGGCCGCCCTGAGGCGCAACTAATTTTGGCCCGTCACAATTTGGATCCAAATGGAAAAGTTTTGGAGACGACGACCAAGCCACAAACTTGGCTTTCACTACATAGCTAGTAGCAGGTACCGCTAGCCACGTCAGGAACCGTCCACTATAACATCACGAACCGGTAGATCTTGATGGTTAGAAGTACACGTATTTCCAGAAGCGCTCCATACATGTAGTAATATCCGGCATGATATGAGACTGACTGACACCACCAATCAGAAGAGTTAGATGGCTGCCGAACTGGTTCTGATAACTCACTCCGGGCCCGAGACTGACCCAAAGAAAACCACTTTAGGAGATATAAAACGCATCCGAACTATGCTCTAAGAAGGAACTCGCACAATAACACTTTTCTCTTTAAAAAACATATAATATCACTATCTCGTCGCGTTTGCTTCCATGAGGTTGCTTTCATGAATATCATCGGGCCCGGTACTGCACGAGGAATTGAATCGTTATCATCGACCAGCTCCAGTCTCCAAAATGGTACCCACGGCACGGACGTGACCATCACGCAAGATGATACGCATACCCTTGCGGACGTACTACACACAAGCAAAAGTAGAAAAGTAATAACATGAGCGACCGCATTTATTCATGGGTGGACGAGATTCATGGGTAACTGAGAAGCGCGCCTTTTTTACTTACCACTGGAGGACCCACCACCTGAAACTGGACACGCGCACGGTCACCAGGACGCAACACCACCAAGGAACCATTTCCAACAGTCGATGAGGACGAGATAATCTCGGAGACCTTCACACAAGCCTTGACATTCAACACGTGAGCCGTCGCACGGAACTGGCCCTTGGTCATGGTCACGGGCTCACCACGGAGCATGACCAAATCGGCCGTCAAGGTGCGAACTGCCGCCACTGTTTTTTCGGTCACGCACACAAAACCCTTGCGACGGTTGAGGCGGGTTCGCTGCGTCTTGGTCAAACCCGAAATGGCAAAGCAAGCAGAGTGACCGGCGTAGGTGTAGTCCACATCGGTCTGTGCCACGTGCATGGAACGGACCGTCACTTTGGCGTAGGAGCCGTCCTTCATGGGACCAACGTAAAGGGGCTCTCCCTTGCGGTACTCTCCGGCATTGACAAAACCAGAAAGGACGCAACCGATACCCTTGACGTGGAAGACTTCTTCAATCAAGAACTCAAAGGGACGCTGTATCTTTCGCTGTTACATACAACCAACCATGGGAATCGATCCAAGAAGCTGGTGAGAACGGCACCGTAACATCAAAAAAATTTGCGCAAACAATTCATTCGTTTCTTCGTTGTACTCACCTCGTGGTGACGACGCTTGGGCAAGGCAAAGAGCAAGCTCTTCAAGAGGTCCACGCCCTCACCGGCCACAAAAGAAACGCTCAACATGGGCGTCAAGGAATGGAGCTTGTCCTGGACAGTCTCAACATCCTTCTCGCTCTTGATTGCATATTGACGCTTGTTGAATTCCTTCGAACGGAGGATATCGACAATCTTCCTCTTGGAATGCTGCAACACCTGGCTGGGGCAGGAATCGACCTAAAAGAGCAGGCAAGGGAAATGAGCCAACAATAATCACAAACAAAATTCATCAGGCAAATGAGTCCAGTGCAACCCCCAATGTCTTCCCCAAGGCTCACCTTGGTCATGACAATAATGACGGGGATACCGCAGGCAGCGCACAAACGGAGGTGGTGCATGGTCATGACGGTTGGAGGCTGTGCCGAGTTTATCATCAACACGGCATAATCAGCCATACCCATGGACAAACCACGGACAGTCGTCTTGAAATACTTCTCGTGACCAGCAAGATCCATCAAGGAAACCACACGGGCTGACTGCTGGGCAATCTCGGATTCGTTGTTGGTGCTTGCCACTACTTCTCCGTCGGCACTTAAACCAACAAGGTGCTGAGAAATACAAGACGTCCTTCCCGTCTCGATCTCGTGCTGGTGCTTCATAATCTTGGAACGGCTGGCACCACGACCATCATCTAGCGTCGATGTCTTGATTGTGCCGATCATGGTGGATTTACCGGCATCAACATTACCCACGACGGCGACACGAATATGGTCGCAACCCATCGTCTCCAAGACGGCCTTCCGGGCCTCGGGAGTCACCAAAACCATTGTTGGTCTTCCGGATAGTTGCTTTCTTTCTTTTACACTTTCTTCTTTTTCTTTTTGGTGGGGACTGTCAAGTAGACTTTGCTAAGGCTGTTGTTTTTATCTTGCTGCATCTTCGTTGCTGCTTGATTTGTGGGCAATCTCCTCGCCAAGGAAGAAAACTCCCAAACTCCAAACGTTGATGGACCTGAGAATCTCCAAGCCAAGAGAATCAGAATCTTGAACAAGGCTCAAATTGATACGTGCGTCAATCGTGCAAAACGCCAAGGAAAAGGGCGCGGAAGTCCATTCGGCCGAGACAGACACCACCAACGGGTAACTCCTGGTAGATTAGGCCATACTAGTACTAGTACCGTACTAGCCAGCACTGGATAGGATTAGCTAATACATTTACAGGGCCTAGCCAGCTAGAATGCCGCTCCCGCAGAGACCCCTTGTTTTTGGCTTCCTTGGATCGGCTACTGGTCCTCAGCGTGAAGACAAAACAAATAAGTGCAGATTCAAGTTCCGCCACCATGTCCTCCTCGCAACTGGGAGTGTTGTTCTCTACTACCACACCTCATCCAAGAGTCTTTGAATGCCTTTTGAGTGTAGCAAAAATAATGGATGGAGGACTATTTTCCAGTTTGTCCTGGGGTACACCCAGCCACTTCTAGAAAAAGCCAAGAGCCGCCCCTTCAATACCAATGTTCTCAAGAGGGAAACAAGCTTTCCACAAAATGTTGAGGCGGTCGTCAAGTGCTCAGTGCTGGCTGCCTTGCGTAGGTAATTTCCCTACTCGAAACCCCCAAATCCACAACACCCAAGCTCTTTCGAGGGACTTTGTGTGGAGATAGAGAGTGCGGGAGTTGATTCCGAGGATGACCGTGACTTAACGAGTCCAGATTTAAGCTTTTAAAATGGGTCCGGATTTAATAAAAGCCACGGTTGCAGCGAGACTCAAGATTTTGCACGGCATCAAAAGCAACCGTCTCGAGCTGCTGGAACGCTGGAACTTCTGTGCATGGAGATGCACACGTACTGTTCTCTCCTCGTCTCTCCACAGTCCACGGTCTCTCTCTTTTTTTAAAAGAAGAAGAAGCCAAACTTACAATAGAGAAGATTCATAGGGAAAACAGGCTGTTATCTTGTTTGCTGTTAGAGATGATGATGAAATCTCCTTCCTTTTGTGCGCTGATGTTGGCCATGCTGGCCTTGTTGGAAAATGCGGTTGCACTTTTGCCGATGCTATTTCGGTCCCGTCCTTCGAGTCCGATGGTGCAGTTCATCCCTTTTGAACCAACACCAACACCAACACCAAAACGTGGTGGCGCAATGGCCAGTTTGTCTCACAAGAAGAAAAACAAAAAGAAGAAAAAGGTAGCCACCAGCCAAAGTCCACTGGAGTTTGAGATTGCGTACAAGTTTGGAAATGGACAAGCTGCCAGCACGACAACCTTGGATAAGCCTAGTATGCAACTGGAAGAAGAAGAACAGCCTGAACTTGTAAAGGCTTTAGGCAACGCCACAGTTGTTATGGATGCAGAGGCAGTGGCTGAAGCCAAGGTAGCAAGTCTAAAGTCACGAGCCAAGGAAGTGGCGAGACTGAGGGCACAAGAAGAAGTGAGATGGAAGGCAGAAGAAGAGGAAGCCAGAATCAAAGCTAAAGCAGATTATGCGGCAAAAATTGCGACAATACCATTGTGGCATTGATTAATCTAGGGATCTAAGAGATGTAAAGTTTGTATTTCCAAATAAGTGAGCAGTTATTGATTATTTTCTAGAATAAGCCTGCCAATTGTAAAGCGGTAAAGCTGAATTGTAAGCTGTATCCCGTCGCACTCCCTTACAGCTGAAATGAAGCTGGAGCAAGAAACGATAGGAGAGAGTCCCCAACAAAGTGCTGAGGTAAATTACCATCCCATGAGGAGCTTCCGAATGACAGCAAACTGTGGAGCCGGAAGACCCTTAGTGAAAATGTCGGCCCGTTGTTCCAGAGTCGGAATATACTTAGCCACGATGCCCTTCGACTCCCCGATATTGGACCTGAAGAAGTGGTACTTCAATGCCAAATACTGTTGCGGGCAGACATTTTTGGGAACATTCACAAGAGGACAGGCAAACCCTGGTTGTCTTCGAAACACTGTAGAGCGCACGAGACTGTCAGTAATTACCGGCATATTCAGTTTGCTACCAATTTCTTTGAGCAAAGCTCGCATAGGAAGCAGCTCCCTCATTGACATGCTGAAGGCAACATACTCGGCAGCAGTGGAGCTCAAAGTAATATCAGTCTGTAGCTTGCTGGACCAGATAATAGGGCACCCAAACAGAGTCAGGACAAATCCAGTGCGAGACTTGACGGACACCGGATCCTGTTCATCCTCATATCCATACAATCCGGCGAAGTCAGCATCGACCCAACAGTCAAGTCCCTGATCAAGTTTAGGGCTAAAACAAATGCCTTTGTCACTTGTGCCAAATAGATACCGAATGATACGTTTGATTGCTTGAGCATGGGAATGCCTGGGATTGTGACTGAATCGTGCACCTGGTGCACACTAAATGTGATGTCTGGGCGAGTTTCGACGCAATATAAAGAAGCATCCAACTGCAGCTGGATAGCTCCACTCTTCTTCAACAGGGGCCCCCAGTTTGTCAGCTCCGAGAGGATCGGTGGCGCAGGAGAAAGCTTCTTGCTAGGTCAGACATACCAGTATATCGATGACTTTATTGATGAGCCCTTTTGAGTAGCTCAACATTGTTCCCTGTCTTTCAAAATTAATCCGGAATCCAAAGATGTACCTTTTTTCTTCCATAGTGAGGTCATATTCCAAGATTCTGGAGCTGCCAAACATAAGAGACTTCAATGCAGATCATTGTCTAGGACTTGAGCAATTTGGCATAACAATAATTTAATACCATGAGTTGATGCTCTTTATGAATAAACAAACATGGTTGCTGCCGAGGTTTCGAAACCAAGGTTGGATCATCCCACGACAAAGATGCTCATAAATAATTTGGTGATCGGTCTGCCCATAAGATGACTTGTCAAGTTTCAAAACACAGTCCTGTCCTTAATAATTTGGGTCGATAATACTGAGGCAATACCATGTACAATGGCTGGTCGACAGGCTGAGGGCTTTGACAGAAAGCAGAAGTAAAATCAACTTGCCTCGATCCCATCCATGTGCAGCTGCAAGAAGAGACCGGCTCTAACGGTGGCCACCAACAAGTGGAGAGTACGCGACACTTCAAGGACTGAAGGTCAACCTCATGCAGCACCACTAAGATGTTGAACTTATTTAATTGTCCGTCTGGTAACCTGTTAATTCGTTGCACCCATAGTTCCAGGAACCGCCTTTATGTGAGGGCATAAGAAGAACGTTGTACGATTGTGCCAAGTCCTTTGTCTTCAAGAGCTGGCAATTTCTTTGTCCATTGCTGCCCAGAGTGGTCTGCATGTGGTTCCATCAGAGATTCC